TTTGTAAGCCAGTTCTTTATTTCTATTTTTATTGTATTTTAAGTGGTTCGTTAATTAATCCGACTAAGCAACAGCAATGTACACAGCACCCTCTCCTAAAGGTGAAAAAGGCAGAAGTTACGTCTTCTTTCCACATGTGTCCCAGTTGTTCATTTTGGGGTGTCTTTTCAGATATTCAGCACATATACATTTATGTGTATGTATCTGTCCTTTTCCATAAAAACTAGTGACTATACTATGTACATTGTCCTCCCTCCTTCATTTTTTTCCCTTTCACTTTTAATTCTCACCTGAGGATATGTTTTATTTCTTTTGATATTTAGAGGGAAAGAAAGAGAGACAGACAGGGAGGGGTGGAGGGAGGGAGGGAGGGACGGGGAGAGAGAGAGAGAGAGAGAGAGAGAGAGAGAGAGAGAAAGAAAGAAAACATCATTCCAAGTACTTTGCAGTACATCTTGGCATGTGTCTGGGCTAATATTCCATTCTATGGGTGGAACATAATTTCTTTAGTCCCATTGATGGACATTTAGGTTCCAATCTTCTACCGTAACTCTCAGTGCCTCAGTGAGTATGTATCTTTGCATATTTGCTACACACGTGAAGAATATCTAAGCTGCACTGTCCAGTGTGGGAGCCACCAGCCACAAGTTGCTATGTATGTTTAAATGCATTTGAATTAGCCAGGCCAGTGTGGCTCAGTGGTTGAGCATCGACCCATGTACCGAGAGGTCGCTGGTTTGATTCCCGGTCAGGGCACATGCCCAGGTTGTGGGCCAAATCCTCAGTGAGGGGTATGCAGGAGGCGGCCAATCAATGTTCTCTCTCATCGATGTTTCTATGTCTCTCTCTCTCTCTAAAAACTTAATAAAAACACATTTAAAAAAAATAAATGCATTTGAATGAAATGAAACGTAAAATCCAGTTCTTCAGTAATGCTAGCTCCTTCTTTTTTTTAATCCTCACCCGAGGATATTTTTCCATTGATTTTCACATAGAGTGGGATGGAGGGAGGGAGGGAGGGAGGGAGAGAGAGAGTGAGAAACATCCATGTGAGAGGGACACATTGACTGGTTGCCTCCTGCACGACCCCAGTCAGGGCTGGGAATTGAACTGCAACCAAGGTACGTGCCCTTGATCAGAATTGAACCCTCGACTCTGGTCCATGGGCCAACGCTCTAACTGCTGAGCCAAACTGCCCAGGGCTGCTGGCTCTTTCTCAGGTGCTGAAGAGTCGCAGGCTAGAGCGCTTCCGTAGTGCAGGGGTCCTGTTGGACAGCGCTGCTCCACGTGATGAATTAGGAGGGAATCAGGAAGCCAGAGGTCTGCACATCTTGAGTGTTGACAGATTACCGACTTTCCTTCTAAAGAGGCTCTTGCTATTTATCCCCTTCCCCCCTCAGTAAGAGCTCAGAGAGGGAGGACACTTTTATTTCAAACACTTACATGGAATGTTGGGGAGAAGTAGAAATGGACCTTGTGTACTGATTGTAAGGACATTCTGTTTCTGTGGTCACTGCCCACGTCGTGTTGTTCTAGTCAGACACTGCTGTTCTCAAGTTACAGTGGGCACACCTGTCACAGGGAGCCCCTCGCTGGATGTCTGTCTGAGGCTGTGCCTCCCACCACCTTGCTGTGGTTGCTTCTCCCCAGCTCTCATCCTCTTCCCTCTCCTCTCCTAAGTCCAGGGCTCCTCCACACCCCAGCTCACGGCCTGCCTGTCTCAGCGGGGTGCCGTCTCCTCATGCATTCTGTCACCATACACAGCCTTTACCGGAGGACCAGCCATAGCTCCGTTTCCTCACTTCCCACTCTCTCCACCCTCCCCCGCCTAGGTGGGTGGTGACCTCCACAGTGTCAGATTAAGATCTGACACTACCAGATCCAGTGGGCACTCTCCTCTCGCTTGAGCTCCCGGCCCTGTCAGCTGCAGCTGCACTTGGTCCTTTCCTTCTTGAAGTGCTCGCCCCTTGGCTTCTGACACCACGTGTGCAGCTCTGTTGGTGTCCTTTGCAGTCTTATCTTCTCTACAGCATTCACAATTCAGTCGTCGTCTTTTCCTTATTACCTGCTGTTTCCTGAGCAATCTCATGCCCACCATGGCTTTGATTAGTTAGCATCATTTGGGGAATGATGGTCATGCATTTTAATTCCCATTTCCTTGATTACAAATAAGGTTGAGCATCTTCATGGTTTGCATTTCCGACCCTAAGGACACCCATTGATCTGTCTGTTTGTCTCACCTGCCACCTTCTCCACAAAGCCTTCCATCCCTTAAACTGAGGGGATCATTCCTTCACTCTAACACCGATACCATTCACGCCCCTTTCACGGGACTTCTGACTCTTTCATCCTCAGGCATGCCTCGCTTCCTTAGGCTGGGAACCTAAGGGTAGTAGTGGCGGTGTCACATCTGTCCCCCCAGAGCCCAGCCTGTTTGTGCAATAGCCCATGTTTGCTCAGTTTGGTCGAATGGACGACTTCTGCTGTGGCAGTGACCAGTCCATCTCTTTGGGCTGATCGTACCCAGATTGAAAAAGCAATGTGTGTATCCAGAATAGGAAATACAATGAATAGAGGAAAAGAATAAAGGCGCCCAGGGGGAAGGGATGTATTTAATTTTTTTAAATGGACATGTCAGGCCCTGGCCGGTTTGGCTCAGCGGTTAGAGCGTCGGCCTGTGGTCCAGAGAGACCCGGGTTCGGTTCCCGCTAAGGGCACGTACCTCAGTTGCAGTTTGTCCCCGGCCCCAGTTGGGATTGTGTGGTGGCAACCACTCGATGTGTCTCTCTCACGCCGATGTTTCTCTCTCTCTCCCCCACTCTATCTGAAGATAAATGCAAAAAAGTCCTTGGGTGAGGATAAAAAATTAAATAAATAAATAAATAAATGGACATGTCAGAGGCAGGTTGTAGGCAGAGGAGACTGGAAAATGGTTTCTCCTAACATGCTGAGTGTCATTCTGCTAGCATCCAGGTACTATAGTGTTCAACAGGCTTGTTTTGGCAGTGACGGTACATTTTGGTGTCAGGTGATGGCTTGGCTGAAAGGAAAACATTGCATCTACGCTGAATGGGAAGAAATTGTATTTGTGTTTTTGTCTGAGGAGAGGGGAAGCTTCCCTTATGTAGCCAGTCCCGTGCCACCAGCTTTGAGCTGCCAGAAGCAGAAACTGCAGGTGCACTGAGAAATAGCCTAGGACCCGCTGCCAGGACACAAGAAGTGTCACACGAGCTGATGCCGATGCTCCGCTTGCGCAAATGTTTAGGACCGACGAGAGGCTCTGTCTCCTCCGCCTGCGGGAGGTTCGGGCCCACGGCCCACCTGCGTTCTCAGGGCCGAGACGCGGCTGCCGAGGAGGGCCGTGGCAGTGGGCCGGCCGCAGGTAAGCAAGAACTGCTTCAACTGGTCAGCCTTCGGTGCGCTGCCTGGCGCCCGAGGGTCCAGTCTCTGCGAGGCCAAGACCGAACAACTGAGAGGACACGCTTCACCACGGGCACTGAAAGCCTGGACACGTGCACTGGGAGCTCATGACAATAAAGCGTGTGTGTTCGCAGCACACCTGACGGTGGCCCTTGGTGCTTTGAGCCAGGCCTCCATTTCTGGGCCCAAGACCCGTGATCTTCGGGTCCCCAGTGCCCCTCGGTGCTTGCAGGCTCTCCTGGGACCCTGTGCAGAGATTTTCTTTTCAAAGCCCTCAGTGTAATAACACTTTTTAAAACCGCGATGCCCATGCCTACTGTTGTCCACACCCCCGCACATCCCTGCTGCGGCTGGGAGGCGGACACATTAAGGACCGCACCACTGAGCTCCCCTGCCCTCTTGCTTCTTGCTGGGTTTCAGGCCCTGGGGACACCAGAGGTGACCAGAGGCGAGGCCAGTCAGGGCATTTGCCACCTCCCTCTGCCAGGCAGGCCCTGGTTTTGGCAGAGGCTGCGTTCCTGAAGGCTGCCGGTGGTAAAGGCTTCCTGCCCTTCCTGCTCCTGTTAGGCCTGGATACCTCCCCGATCTGTCTATTCCCTGGACCCTGCCACACTTCTGAAAGAAACTCATCGACCTCTCTTAACCCTTCAAGCCATCTTTTCTTTTCCGTGTGGGCCCTGAGATCAACTGTCCAGTTGTTCCAGGCTCCGTCTATCCAAATAAAGGCCAACCAGAGGAAGTCACAGAGCAGTTCTCGAGTTCCAGGATATTTTGCACCGTGTTTACATGTAGTTTTATGGTGAAATAGTAACTCCTTCCAGCAGTGACTTCACAGAGGAAGCCTCCTGTCGGTTTCGTTAGTCAGTCGTTTATGTTCAGGTCACGGCCTTCCCCCTTCTCTAACTAGCACAACCACTCTCCTATTTAGGAGGCATTTGTGGTTTAACTACAGAGTTCAGGCGAATTAGTGTTTACCTGGCTGGGCACAGAGGGGAGCCCAGTGCCTTCGCCAGGTGGTCAGCAGGCCCTTTTCTTCTGGTGATGCCCTCCTCCTGGGCCCTTTGTCCAAGGAGGGCTCGGCCGCAAGCCCTCGCCTTTGGCTGCTGTGTGACCCCACTGGTGTTAGCACCGTCCAGTTCCACTTTTCTGCACTTTTCCATTTGGGCTCTACTCTTGTCCCCCACCCGCCTCCTTTCTAGAGAATCCTGTTTTATGCCGCTCTACCCCCCCTGCGTTAGGGTCCCTCAGTCCTGGGTGCTGAGACTGCTGAAGCCAAGGGCAGACTGGAAGTGTGCTCCCAGGGTGACCTCGTTCCCGCCAGAGTGCTCCAGAGCCAGAGGCTACGCGCTCTCAGCTTGGGGCCAAATTAAAGGTGTTAACAAAAGTTGCTATGAGCTCTGGAAACCTTGGTGAAGAGTCTAAAGAAGAAATATCTGGAACAAAGAGGAAGGTGTCTGGTGAACAGCAGCTCACATTCACATTTAGCCCTTCAATCTAGGGTTCATCTCAACTCAAAATCTTTTTCAGGAGAAAGTTTGCACTGTTTGCAAATCTGGAAGCAAAAACTCACAACTCACTGCAGGTGGTAGACACGTTCTTTTATTTTTTTTTAGAGCAGGGCAGCATTTACTGGTTGGGGTCCGGGCCATAGCAGCTCCTGTGGCTCCCCTTGTGTCCAAGGGGATGTCTTCACTTCTGGACACGCCGATCTCCAATCAGAAGCACGGCAAAGGCCACCACAGAAGGAGGCAGAGCCGTCCCTGACTGCCGGAAGCACCCCAGCAAACCTCTGGAGGGAGCTCTGACTGTGCTTGCCACAGGGCTGGAGGTCAGGTTCAGGTGCAGGCTTCCTTCCCATCACAGCCTCCGAGCCTTCCTGGGGCGGCAGCCGTTGTGCGGGATGGGGGTGTTGTCTGTGATTGAGATCACTTCCAGGCCCCCCATGGTCAGTCCCTTGATGGCAGACTGGAGGGAACAGAAGGAACGGTAGGAGGCTTGGTCCCAGAAGTGATGACCTAGCGTGCCCAGCAGGGCTCGGAGAGCGAGCAGGGGGAGGGGTGGGGTGGGGTGGGGAGGAGAGTGCAGAGGTTCACTGGCCTTGATACCTATAATCCCAGCTCTGTTCTACTCATAGGGTCTCCCAACCAAGCCTGTCACCCAGGTGCTCAGTGCTGTGCTCCGCAGTCACCTGCTGCTTCCCACTGTGCTTTACTATCTGAGCACAGAGACTCCCCGTAAACCCTGACAGACCTTGGGCATTACACTCCTGCAGCTTTCCTTACGTCTTCCCTCTGCCTGGAATGTCCCCCTCACTTGGACATACCATGTTATTCTTGAAAAGTCAATAGAATTGTTACCTCTTTGGGGAAGCTTTCCTGATCATACCCAATGGGCTGGTAGCACCCGGGGCACAGGCTTTACAACTGCACCCCCTAGTCTGTACTGAGGGAGCCATTTGTGATGGTCCCCAGGGACCACCTTTCTATTCCCAGTGTCTGGCACACAGCAGGCACCCAGTGAATGTCTGAGGAATTCAACTAAGTGGTCTGTGTTTGCTTTTAGAAGCTCAGTAGATGATAAGAACAGCGGAAAGAAACTTCAAGCCCTCATGGAAATCCACTACAAGGCCCTTTTCCACTCTCTTTATACTGCGCTCAAGACCCGTCTGTCTAACTAAAGGAACAAGTGCCCATCCCGTGGAGAGTCACTGCCACTTACCAAGCGCCCCGGCCCCAGGCCTTTCACCACCACGCGGACGTGGGTCACACCCTTCCCTGTAGCTTTCTGGAGAGGAGCAACAAGTGGTTAGTGCCCCAGTGAGAACGGCTACGTCCACACCTCTAGCTACTGCCCCCTGGAGCAACAGGGCTGTGAGCTCCAGGGAAAAGGCACCCACAAATGTAGACGGGCAGAAGACAGGAAGGAAATGCAGGCCAGATGGCCAGTGCAGGCCAGAGACCAGCAGAGAAACAGATTTAGTCAACTGTGATCCCTTTTCGCCCAGGACAGCACTGCCACCTAATGGAAACTTCTAAATATCGCTCCGATTTTTCTCAGATGGGTAAATTTTTCTCAGAATCTCAGACCATGAGGAGGAGCCCTGGACTTCAAAGCTGAGCTTAAATACCCACTTACAAAGTGTTATCATTTTAAATCTTTAGTAATAGTTAAGTTTTTCTTTCTTGTTTACAAAAGGCATCATGATGGAAACTGGAAAACACACAGATGCCACAGAACCCATCCTGCAGAAACCACTGTCATCATGTTTCTTTTAAGGGTATACAATCTGCCCATCGGTGGACAGCACATTTTGGGGATCATTAATACATAGCAATCAATAGTTTTGGGCGCTGAGCTTTGTTTGAAGGTCCAGGGTTTCCTCTAGGAAATAGTTTGGTTGGTCAGAACCTGTGCCACAGTGTATGAGCTTTGGTTCCAGACCAACGTGGGTTCAGTGCTGGGAGCTAACAGGACTGCATGGCTCTAAGCAAGCTGTACACTGTATCTGAACTGGCTCAAAAATGTGGATAGTACCGAGGGTCTTCTGAGGATTCAACATAATGAGTGTAGTGTCTGGTGTATAGATGCTCAATAAATATACCAATAGTGGCACAGGGCTGACCTGCTTCTAGAAAGGTCTGCAACAGCTCACACTCGAATTGGTATTGCATGAGGGTTTTCACCACACCATATCTTCCCAAAGAGACTCTTATCACCAATCCCCACCCCACCCCACTGGCCTTTAAATGAAGGAGGCTTTGATAAGCCTCAGCACCTGGCTGTTAACGTCTTCTGGAAGACAGTATCTCACTTCTCCTGAAGCTAAAAGGAAGAGAAAAGGGAAGCCTTTTCACACAGACCTCTTCAAACTGCTCCCAGTGTTCAGCTAGCAAACAGGAGTTGGCATATACCCCATGGCTTCTGACCGGCTGGTTCGTGGAGAACTGTCACCAGTGATCAGCCATGCAGAAAGGGGAGCGCATTTCAGAGGGCCGAAAGAACTCACCGCCGCGGCAGCTATGCCTGCTGTCTGTGCTGCGATGCCCGTGCCCTTCTTGGCGTTCCGAAACCCCTCAGTGCCGCAGGAAGTGCGGGCGAGGGGCTGGTGCGCAGCAGAGACGACTTGGATCTGTGTGCTGGGGAAGCACAGAAGGTAAACAGGACTGTTCAGGACTTCAGAGAGCGCTAACCTATATTCCCTTACAGACCTGAAAGAGAGGAGTCAGCTGCTTTCCCTTGGAGCTCACCAGGGAATGTTTTCTGAACGTTTACAGGAGGTGTTAGGAAGGTCAGAATCACCCCTAAACCTCACTGAAAACTGACAAGTCATATAATCTAAAGAGAGTTGTTACAGACTGAATGTTTGTGACCCCCCTCCCCAATTAATGTTGAAACCCTAACCCCGAATATGATGGTATTTGGAACTGGGGCCTTTAGGAGGCAGCTAGGTCACGAGGATGGAGCCTTCATGAATGGGCTTAGTGCCCTCCAGAGAGCCCCCTCCCCTTCCATGTTGGCACCTGTCCTTGGACTTCTCATCCCCAGAACCTGAGACACGAATGCCTGTTGTTCAGGCCAGTCTGTGGTGCTCTGCAATGGCAGCTGAGCAGGCTAAGGTAAGTTCCATAATGAGGGCGGCACATCTCCTAGAGCCTTTCCTGTAGCCAGTGTGTACACCAGGTGTGCTGATCTCGCCTGGCATTTCCCCTAAGCTTAGATGCTTTATACACCAGCTAATTAAGAAAAAGACTCTTCATTAGGGAAAATTTCAAATATATACAAAAGTGAACAGAATAGTATATGAACTCCCATGGACCTATCACTCAGGTTCAATAATTATTAATTCACATCCAATGTGATAGACACATTGATTGATTGCCTCCCCACAGCCTCGATAGGGACCTAGGATCAAACCTGCAACCCAGGTATGTGGCCTTGACTGGAATTGAACCCATGACCCCCCCCTTCAGTCTGCAGGCTGATGCTTTAACTGCTGAGCCAAACTGGCCAGGGCTTAATGGATACTTCAAATGCTTATAACATTCCATTTCATGATCAATTCTTTAAAAATAAGTGAAACATTTTTACTAATCACCTCTATTTATTTATTTATGTTACTCCTTCAGATAGAGTGGGAGGGAGAGAGAGGAAGAGAGAAACATCAATGTGAAAGGGACACATTGAGTGGTTGCCACCCGCACGACAGAACCAGGGCCGGGGACAAACTGCAACCAAGGTACATGTCCTTAGCGGGAACCAAACCCAGGTCTCTCTGGACCACAGGCCGATGCTCCAACCGCTGAGCCAAACCAGCCAGGGCATCATCTCTAACTTTTAAAATGAAGAATAACTTGCCCAGCCGGAGTAGCTCAGTGCACCAAGAGGTCGCTGGTTCAATTCCCGGTCAGGGCACATGCCAAGGTTGTGGGCCCAATCCCCAGTGGGGGGCATGCAGGAGGTGGCCAATCAATGTTCTCTCTCATCGATGTTTCTCTCTCTCTCTCCTCTCCCTTCCTCTCTAAAATCAATAAACAAAAAAAATTTTTTTTTAAAAGAATAACTTTAGAAATCCATAGACATGCTTTCCATTTCCCCTTGGCCATCATCACCCTGTCTCTGGTCTGGAGAACTCCCGGCGAAGAGGGAAGTGGAGGAGCAGTTATGGAGTCAGCCCTGGGCTGGCGCCATCTGCTTGTTGGCCTGGCTACAGCTGCCATTTCCCTACCACAGCCTCTTGGGTTTTCTACACTGAACAGAAGCACAAGAGAGTTGCTTGATCTTGAGACAGCCCAAACAGGGAGCTACAGAGTGGGCTCCAGCCACTTATGGATGCTGAGTGAATCCTATGACATCTTTCCTGTGCCCCACACTGTGTCTGCGACTACCAACATTCTCTTGTATCGTTGTTAAATTGCTGCAGGGGCAGGTTGTGACCAAACACTGACCCACCTCGGAGCAGGGGGGAGCTGGTGGGGGTGGCTGGCCTGCAAAGTTGTCACTAATGTCAGCAAGGCCTCTGTTGCCAACACACAGTTGGGAACTCCCTCGACACGTGTTTGTAGGAAAGCCAGTCTTATCAATAGGATAAGCCTAACCCAGTCCACATTTTCATGAAATCTGAATGAACATTATAAAGACAGAAGCTGGTTTCGCAAAACAAAGAACACGTGATTTGGCACCACCTGTAGAATGTGGCACTCTGGCTCCCCGCCCCCAGCAGGTGCCCAGGGCCACCTTGCCCTTCCACGGTGAAGGGGAAAGGAGCCCACCGAGACCCGCCAGGTGCTCCCCACCCCACTTACTTGTTGTAGGATGCCTTAATGTGTGCGATAGGAATCTCCTCAAATTTCTTTCCTGCCCACCTCAGGGAGCTCTCCTGTCCTGGAATTGGAGGGTATATGCTGCAATCAGAATGAACATTTATGTAAAATTGTCATTATGTTTTTTTAAATTCAAAGAAATCCATCACATAGTTACAAATAATCCAACAATACAGACAAACTCAATGAAAAACAGCAGCCCCCTCCCCTCAAACCTGCTCCTGAGGTAGCTGCCCCCCCATTCCCGTTCAGTCCTGGTGCTGGCGCCCTAGCTAGGAGCACTGCGCATGCAGCTAGTCCTCGTCGCTGGCTCTAGACACATGGAGTGACTCTCTGCTAGAGGAAGTTACAGCCCACACTCCCACCCATCTTGTCCCTTCTGATGCAACAGATCAGTCCTCCTAATCCTCTGTAGGATCTGCTTTCTGCAATTTAAAAAATAAAGTTAAACCTCTATTCTTGTTTCATTGTCTGCAGATATCTTGTCTCACTACTTTATGAGGTTTCTGTTGCAACTCTGACACTAGAGTGCAAAAAAATGGCCGTGGACAACAGCCAGTCAATGGGCATGGCTGTCCCAATAAAACTTTATCGCAACAGGCCAGATCTGGCCCATGGGATGTAGTTTGTCAACCCCTACCCTAGACCAGTGGTTCTCTCTCTGAACAGCAGAAGCACCTGTTACTGTGATGGGTAAGCTCCACTCCAGACTTCTGGGTAGATCTGGGAATCTTACTTCTAAAATGCCCTAGGTGGCCCGGCCTGTGTGGCTCAGTGGATTGAGTGTCGTCCCACGGACTGAGAGGTCCTGGTTGATTCCTGGTCAGGACACGTGCCCTGGATGCAGACTTGATCCCCAGTAGGGGGAGTGCAAGAGGCAGCTGATTGATGTTTCTCTCTGACATGGATGTTTCTCTCTCTCCCTTCCTCTTTTGCTTAAAAAATCAATAAAAACATATTTTAAAAAATGCCCCAGGTGAATGATGTGTGGACTCAGGGTTGAGAACACTGGCCCAGACACTGCAATGAATACAAGATCTTTTGCTATCTGAGCCAACCTGTTCTCTGGCTATCCTAGGTCAGTACTCTTCATTTTCAGGTGGAGAAACTGAGGTAGGAATCAGGGAACAGGGTTAGCTGGGAAGCCCGGCCTTGGGCCTAGGAGGCCTGCCTCTGTCCAGAGCTCTGCTTGCCATGCGGGGCTTTCTTTTATTCAAACACACACAGTTGTCATCAAGCACTTGAGATGTGAGTGAACCTGCTGTTGCACTCTGCCTACACGTGCAAATCAGATCTGTATTTGTACCCTCCCTCGTCATGAAATACAGTGGATTTAGGTCTAGAAAATACACCTATCTGAGAACAGTCTTCCCTTCAGCCCTACCTACTTTCCTAGAGATATTTTTAAAAAACAAAACAACAACACAGTGGTATTCAAGAGTTACAAGTGTATTCTTTCCTGTTAGGCCTGATGGTAAGAGATGACTGAGTGCCTCAGCCGGCTCCTGGCCTATCAGCCTACACACTGAGATGGAAAGTGTAATTAAAAACAGTAAAGCAACGTTTTTGTACTAGGAAGGACTCAGAACTTGAACCATTTAATTGAACGCATGGACAATATGAGGCTTTTAAACCTCCCAGGTCCACTGTACAAATGAACAAATGGCTCACTCCACAGAAGCCAGAATGGGACTGTTTCGTCCCCGTCCTCAGAGCAGGGAAACGTACAGTGGCCGGCGCCTGTGGCGTTGCTCTTGTGCAGCTGGGGAGGGCCGACACTGGCTGCGGGCCGCCCGTGCTGAGGCTCGTCGAGGAGGGCCGACTGCCCTGTGTGCTTCAGGCACGAGAACTGGCTGAGCCCGGGGCCAACCCAACTGAAATGGCCCCGACACAAGCCTGGCAGGTGCTGGGACCTCGGCTGGGTAAGCTGCAGCTCTACTTCCCAAAGGAGAAGGCCCTGCCTCGCGGTCTTCAACCCACTTTCTTTAAAAGAAAATTTTTTCTTTATTGATTTTTAGAGAGAGATAGAAACATTGATGAGAGAGAACATTGGCTGGCCGCCTCCTGCATACCCCCCGCTGGGGATCGGGCCCACAACCTGGGCATGTGCCCTGACCGGGAATCAAACCGGTGACCTCTTGGTGCATGGGCTGATGCTCAGCCATTGAGCCACACCAGCTGGGCTCAACCCATTTTCTTCCTTTTCTTTTTTTTACTCCTCGCCCAAGGATATTTTTCTATTTATCTTCAGATACAGTGGGAGGGATAGAGGAGAGAAAGGGAGAGAGAGAGAAACATTGATGTCAGAGGGACACATGGACTGGTTGCCTCCTGCACGACCCCGGCCAGGGCTGGGGATGAACCACAACCAAGATACATGCTCTTGACTGGAATCAAACCCGCAAAAGTCATTGGTCTGCGGGCTGATGCTCTACCACTGAGCCAAACAGGCCAGGACTCAACCATTTTCTAAAGGTGGTTACAGGTAATTTTTAGAAATGAAGATAAATGTAGAAAAATACAAAGGTCATAAGTCATGGACCACTACTGTTGTCACACACACACGCACACACACACGATTTCGTTAAGAACATTCCAATTCCAACCTTGGCTTCTGTTTCTCGACTTCCATTTCTCCAACGATCCTGTATCCTACCCCGGCTACTTACTCCCGTGGTGATTAGCCCTTGTCATTACCATACTTGCAGCCCCATCATAACCTAGGTTCCAGGAATCTGGCCCCCACCTCCTGGCACACCCACTGGCTTCCTCTACTGGGAACCTTCAATCCCATTGATTCTATCAGCTTTTCACTTCCCCTCACACCCCTGATGCTTTCTTTCAGTTCTGCCCTGACCTCAAGTAAATTCATGGCCAATGATCACTAATCACTTCCTTGCACGCGCCCTCACTCCCCCCAACCCATTTCATTGTACCTCCTGGCAAACCCCTAACCCTGGTTAAATCCATCTCTCCAGCACTCTGAGCCCGTGCGTGCACCTGTACAACTGGCTGGAAAAAAATACACAGCAATGCCAACTGGTCTCCCTGTATCATGGCTTCTCAGCCTCAGCATTACTGACATTTTGGGTAAGATAATTCATTGTTGTGGGGGGCTGTCCTGCACACTCAGCATCCCTGACTTCTATCCACTACCTAATGTCTCCCAAGTTGCGACAGTCAAAAATGTCTTCAGACATTGCGAAAAGTCCCCTTGGAGGCAAAATCACCCGATTGAGAACTACTGCTTTCTGTGAATGACTTCTAACATCAAGGAGGTCCTCAGTACTGCCTGGCAATCATATAGCACATCCCCCGTTCAATTATCCATCCAGTCTCCTGGAAGACTATGTCCTACCTTCTTTTGTCTCCTCAAACCTGCTTCCTCACTGACAGCTGATGACCTTCACAGAGAAACAGAAGCAATCAGAAGTTCTTCCAGCTCCCACTACCAGACATCTGTGCCCGCGGTCTTTGCATTCTCTCCTGTTATGATGCTCCACTTGTGTGCTAGCCTCTCAAGGACATCACTCCAGCAATGTTCCGCTCTGGCATCATCATTCTTTCCCCTCTGCTTTCCCGTCAGCAAAAGATGCTGTCATGTCTCCAACCTAAAGCAAACAAAACCCTCTCGATCCCAAAGCCTCCCTGAGCTACTGCCATTTCCGTACCACCCATAAAGCAGTATCCCCTTAAAGAACTGACTGTACCTGCTGTTGCTTCCTGTCTTCTGTTCTCCTGGAACCCACTCCAATCAGACTTTAGCCCCTATTAACTCCTCCAAAAATGCTCTAGTCGAAGTCACCGACCAACTCACAATGTTAAATGCACGGAGCAATTTGGTCATCAGCCTATCAACCTGTCATATCAGCAGCATTTGACATAACTGCCCTTTGCCCTTGAACCACATTTAAAATCTCTTCTGTTTTTTTTTTTTTTTTTTTTACTACCTCTCTTTTGTCTCTCTTGCTGATTCTTCCTCATCTGCCAAATCTGTAAATGTCAGCGGGCTAGAGTTCAGTCGTTGGACTTCTCTTCTTTATCTACATTTACTCTCTTGATGATCTAGTGTCATCATCATCTATGGTGAGTGAGCCACATCTGTCCCCTGAACTCCATTTCTAATAGCCAACACTGTATCTCACGTGGATGCTAATTAAGCAACTCCAACTTAGCCACCCAACTGCAAGTTCCCACAGGCTTCCTCAGCTTAATGACAACTCCATCTTTCTAGTTGTTTAGGCCCAAACTTTTAGGGTTCCTTCATTCTGCTCTTTCTCTTCCACCTTCCATGAACAAATCACGTTGGTTCCACTTTCTAAATGTATCAGTCCGACCATAGTACTTCTACAGCTGTCCCTCTGGTCCAAGCCGCCAGCTCTTGTCTGTATTGTTTCAACAGTCTTCAATATCAGCACAGCAGCCAAAGGGACTCTTGAAAACTGTAAGCATGATTGTGTCAACCCTCTTCAAAATTCTCTGGTGGCTTCCCATCTCAGAGGAGAAGCTAAGTTCTGACGATGATGACCTCCCGTAGCCCTGCATATCTGCTAGACCCCTGACCCCTTCCCCCCTTATTTTACTCCTCACTCCACATTGGCCTTAGTGCTATTACTTATAAACATCGGTCATACTCCCATGTTCTACTTGTTTCATATTTGCTATCCCTCAAGTCCTGTGGGGGCAGGGATTTGTGTGTGTGTGGTCACCAGTGTGTCCCTAACACCCTGAACAGTGTCTGGCAAGGCTGAATGACCAGAATAGAGCCTTGACGTAAACTCCTTTAGAAGCTCCCCACTGCCTACAGTGGGGACATGTACAAGCCCCCGTTACAGACAAGACCCTCGGCATTGATTCCTTCTTGTCTCGCTGACTTCATCTGCCATCGCGCACACACCTGAACACACCATGTCCTTTCACACCACGTGCTTTTACACCAACCATTAGCTTTGTCTGAAACAACCCCTTTCGTCGTGTCCAGCTGAACTCCCATCCAATTCAGTTGTCAGCTCCCCATTTTCTTCTCCGCAGTTTTACCTGATTTCCTCAGGAGTCAGACACTCCTTCGTATATACTTGCAAACCAGTTCTTACCTCCAGCATACTACTGACTAGATAATGGTGAAGACGTCTGCATGTGTCTTCCCTACTGTGGGGAGAGACGATGTTTTGTATTTGTATTTGTATTGGTGCTTGGCACGTAGTAGGCTCAGTAGGTGTCTGTTAAATGGACGGGAAGTCCCAGCACAGGGAGGTGGTGGCGGTGGTGGAAGGCACATGCCGCTCCCAGGGCCGAGCACAGGAACTTCCCTAGACCTTGGACCAACTCTAAAAAGTGGGCCACGATCCATGCTACAGTGTACCCCCTCTCCCTTCCCGCTCTGTGTGTTTAGTCCGACGGGATCGCCCGCCGTGTCGGGAAAACGGAGGCTCAGGGGCTGATTTGCATCCTGTCGCACCGGCGGCAAGTGGCGGGGTCGGGGATCCACTGGTTCTCAGACTCGGGGCGGTGGTTCCGGTCCCCCGAGGGCTGGACCCACGCGGCCCTCACCTGAAGCTGCCGTGGCTCGGAGCCTCCGTCTTCTCTTCCAGCTTGGCCTCTGCGTCTGGCGGCGGCGGGGCGCCCGTGTGGACGGGGGCGGCCGGCGCCCGGGCCGCGGCCCTGCGGGACGGAGAGCTCGCTGAGGCCCAGGCCTGCCGCCCACTGCGGCCCGGCGGCTCAGGGGACACGCGCAGGAGCGTACTCCCGGCGGCGGTCTCCACTCTTACCTGCTCGGGGGCGCCCAGGCCCAGGGCCGCAAGAGCTGAGACCCCACGTTCCTTACGACGTGCATGACTGGAGTTGACCCCGGAGAGCTCCCGTCCGCGGCGCCAGCACCATGAGCGCCGGTGAGGGGGGGGTCCAGAGTCCAGGGGCAAAGGCATCTGCTTCCTCCCAGGAAGCCCGTTAAGTGTTTCCCCCCAATTTATTTGCTCTACGATAAATAACCATCACTGCGGCTTTCAGCTGCAGAATTCCTCCCTTTCCCCTAACCTCTCCCCCGAGATCGGCGCCCACCCCTCCGCGCTGCGATGGTTCGTCCCGGGACGGCATTTCCCCCCTCCCCCGGCTGTCCCCGCGCGGCCTTGTGGGAACGTAGGATTGGCCCGGGCCGCGGGCCGCGGTGCATCGCGGGAGGGCAGACATGGCGGCGCCGGCGAGGCGAGCGGTGCTGGCGCTGGCGAGGGGCTGGCGGCTTTCGCCCTGGGCGGCTAACCTGCGTGCTCGCCGCCTGACCCAGGCGGCCGCACCCTCGAGCAGCGCGCCTCCCTGGCGCTTGTTGGGGGCGCTGTGCTTGCAGCGGCCCCCGGTGGTCTCGAAGGCGCTGACCCCTTTGCAGGAAGAGATGGCGGCTCTGCTGCAGCAGGTAGATTTGAGCTGCAGCTCGCGGCTTCGGGGTGCCCGGCGGGCGCCAGGAGAGGCGCGCGGGCCCGGGCTCGATTCCCCCCGGCTCTGGCACCGCGTAGTGTGACCTGGGACAAGTTCCTTCACTCCTCAGAACTCCAGGGCACTGCCCACCGGCACAAGGGCGCACACCTGAGCGGCTTGGTGTGCGACGCAGCAGGCGTCCCATGAAAGGCAGTTGGTTTTCACTGGCCTTTATTGTTACCTTAGCCAACTCTGCGAAGACACTCCTTTGTCATTCAACACGCGAGGGAAGCGGTGGTAGACAAGAAGGACTAAGTCTCTAGCATAGGAACTTTGGAGAGGTTTTAAAGAAAAGGAAGGGGGAGAGTGAGGGAGAATGTTTTTCTTTTTAGATTCTCATCCGAGGATTTTTTATTTTATTTTATTGATTTTTAGAGAGAGGGAGGGAGGGAGGGAGAGAGGAAAAGAAACATTGACTTGAGAGAGAAACATCAACCGGTTGCCTCCTGTAAGGGCCCGAGCTGGGCATCCAAACCCGAAACCTAGGTATGTGCCCTGATGGGTAATCGAACCGGAAACCTTTTGGTGTACAGGAAGACGCTCTAACCAACTGAGCCACCTGGCCCGGGCAAGAGGAGAGTCTTTTTATTTATTTTTTATTATTATTTTTTTTATCCTCACCCGAGGATATTTTTCCATTTTTTGTTCAGATAGAGCGGGAGGGAGAGACAGGAAGGGAGAGAGAGAGAGAAACATCGACGTGAAGGGACACATCGAGTGGCTGCCACCTGCACGACCAACCAGGGCCGGGGACAAACTGCAACCGAAGTACGTGCCCTTAACAGGAACCGAACCCAGGTCTCTCCGGACCGCAGGCCGACGCTCTAACCGCTGAGCCAAACTGGCCAGGGCGAGGAGAGTCTTTTTGATGTGATGAGTGTTAGGAGAAGGCAGCGGCCCATCTGTAAGAGGCCTGTGATAAAGGCAGTCCTGTTTTGCCTCCCAGGACTGTTTGTGTGGGAGGCGAAAGAGGAAACATGGGCAGAAACTTGGTGTAGTGGCTGTGAGGGTCTTTAGTTCCCGCAGATAGTGACCGAAGTATGCTTCTCTAGAATCTGAAATGTTTTTGTCTTGGATACTGAGAGCGATGAACTTCACTTCAGTACTTTTTACTTGGTGCATTACTTTTCTCAGCAAGTGCTTTCATTAATCCCTCGACAGATAATCGTTGAGCACTTACCTGTACAGACATTGTGCTAAAATGCTAGGCATGCAGTGTGAAGAAGACAGTTATGACTCTGGTTCTCAGAGTTCTTAAGTCTAGTGGAGGAGGGCCAATCAGTAGCCAAATAATGACATGACCATATAATTGCAGAGTCTGGTAAGTGTTGTAAAGGTAAACACAAAGTACTGTAAGAGAATTTAACAGGAACATCTAATTTTTATTCTGTGGGAGGTTTCAAGGAGTATCTCTCCCAAGAAAGTGATATTTAAACTGAGATCTGAGGGAGAAGTAGGAAATCTCCCAGAGGGAAAACTAGGGAGAAAGAACGGCACCTGTAAACTCCATGGGGCAGGGAAGTCCATGGTGACTGAGATTCTGCTCAAAGACTGACGTGACTGGAGTGTGGTAAGTGGGCAGACATGCCTGTCCCAGTCCTCTGTCATTAGCCATGTTGACCTCCAATCACGTTGTAACATTTTAGTAAACGTAATTCAAGCCCAAAGTGCAGGTGACCTTTTTCTTCTCTGATTTTTTTCTGTGGTGTTTTGATTGTATGTCTTAGTATGTTGGATGGTAAACTTCTGAGCCTGTCCACTGTGCTATAGCTCTGTTTTATTCTGCCTCTGTTTTTTGGTCCTTTTAATTGTCTCAGATTGAGATAGAGAGAAGCCGGTATTCAGACCATGAGCTTCGTGCTTTGGATGAAGCCCAGCGCCTGGCAAAAAGGAAAGCTGACCTCTATGATGATGAAGATGAACAGAATATATTGCTGGTACAGGATTTGGAGGATATGTGGGAGCAGAAATTCCAGCAGTTCAAACCTGGAGCTCGCATAACAGGTTTGTGGTCTTTTCAGGCCAGTAAGAGGAAAGGGGGAGTAGTATTTTGGTTCCCAAACAAAGGACAATTTCTTTCTTTCTTTTTTTGGTGGTACATGCCCCTAGCGGGAACTGAACCCAGGACTCTCTGGTCCGCAGGCCAGCGCTCAACCGCTGAGCCAAACTGGCTAGGGCTAAAGGATAATTTCTTAACCCTGCTTTGTGTTTTAAGTAACAGATAACTGTAGATGATAAAACATTTTTCAGGTGGGAGAAAAATAAATTTTTTCCTGTTCCTCACATCTGCTCCTGATATAATTGTTTAAGGCTTATGTTATTTTTTTTTTTCCATTTATTTTCAGATACAGTGGAAGGGAGGGAGGGAGAGAGGGAGAGAGAGAGCGAGAGCGAGCGAGTACGCACGCAAGAGAAAGAATCATCAATGTGAGAGAGACACGTGAGAGAGAGAGAGAGCAAGAGAAAGAAATACCAATGTGAGAGAGACACGTGAGAGAGAGAGCAAGAGAAAGAAATACCAATGTGAGAGAGACACATTGACCGGCTGCCTCCTGCATGACCCCAACCAGGGCTGGGGACCAACCGCATCCGAGGTACGCAACCTTGACGGGAATCGAACCTGCGACTCTTTGGTCCATGGGCCGGCGATCTGCTGAGCCAAACTGGCCAGGGCAAGGCTTATGTTATTTTTGATGCGAAGTAAGGTTGGGATAGCCTTTTCTCTCTCAGTTAAACTTTATTAATGTTATCTGAATTTATCTCCTTGTTTGGACTGAGAGAGGGAAATATTAAACCTTTTCCCACTGGTTCCCTGTGCTTTATCTGAAATGCCTCCTAAAACAGGGGGTTAATTTTCTCACCCTGTTTCATAGAGGAATACCGAAGAGAAAGTGGGGGCTAGTTCAGTCAGTCATAGTGTCAAAACCAGTAAAGTAGTAAGTTTTGAATTAGTATGAGTGTTGCTTCTTTTTCAAAGGCTCAAAATCCTTTATAGTTCGTTCTTTAAAGGAGAAGTTCAACTTTTGGTTTCCTCTCATATTTTAGTTTCCTCAGGATTGTGAGACTCTACTTTGATTTATAGTTCGTTCTTCAAAGGAGAAGTTCAACTTTTGGTTTCCTCTTATATTTTAGTTTCCTCAGGATTGTGAGACTCTACTTTGAAAGATGTCAGAGTTAGAGAGATGGGTTAGGGTTGTTACTGGATTACAGTAATCTTCCCTTATCTTTAGGGAATAAATTATAAGTGCCCCCCCCCCCACACACACACCATGGGTGCCTGAAACTGGATAGTACCAAACTTTGAATATGCTATGTTTTTTCCTATACACATACATCTATGGTAAAGTTTAATTTATAAATTAGGCACAGTAGGAGATGAACAATAGCTAATAATAAAATAGAATGATTATAGCAATATGCTGTAACAAAAGTTGTGTGAGTATGATCTGTCTTTCTCAAACTATCTTACTGTATTGTACTCACCGTTTCACTTATGGGAAGCACTTTATGGCTTCCCTTTGGCATATCTGAATTGCCAGCGTCACCACTCCTGTGCTCTGGGCCATGATTAAGTAAAATAAGGGTTATTTGAACGTAAGCACATGATGCTGGGACAGTTGATCTGATAACTGAGATGGCTAAGTGACTAGTGGGCTGGGAGTGTACACAGCGTGCAGACGCTGGGCGAAGGGATGACTCATGTCCCTGGCAGGATGGTGCACAATCTTATCATGCTGTTCAGAATGGTGCACAATTTACAACTTATGAATAGCTTATTTGTGGAATTTTCCATTTGTGATTTGATTGTGAGTAACTGAAATTGCGGAAAGCTAAACTACAAATCAGGGAATCGAGTGCATATGTTTTTGAGAGCAAGGATTGTGGCTCTACCTCAAAGGAAGACTGTGAAGCTCTAATCTCCTTGGTTCTGGTAGATCATTTACCTTGTCTACTCTGACCCCCTCTTCTTTGCAGAAGCTGACAAAAAGAATGACCGAACCTCACTACACCGGAAGCTAGACAGGAACCTTGTTCTGTTGGTCAAAGAGAAGCTTGGAGACCAGGATGTTTGGATGCTGCCCCAGGCAGAGTGGCAGCCTGGGGAGACCCTCCGAGGAACAGCTGAGCGAGCCCTGGCCACGCTCTCAGGTGAGTTCCCTGCCGCCCTCTAACCCACGAGAATTTGCAGGCTGACTGTGAGGATGACTTTAAAGGTAAGGATTTTCCTGAGATCAGGTGAGAGTCCATCTTTGTCCCACTGAGGTTTTTAAATTTAGTACATTGATTCTTTTTTTCTGTTGTTGTTAATCCTCATCCGAGGATATTTATTGTGCTGATTTTTAGAGAGGGCAAAAAGAGAGGGAGGGAGAGGGGAAGAGAGAGAGAAAATAAAAAACATCAATGTGAGAAAGACACATCGATCGGTTGCCTCCTGTATGTGCTTAACTGGGCCAGGGATCGAACCTGCAACCCCAGTACATGCCCTTGACTGGGACTCGAACCTGCGATCCTTCAGTGCGAGGGCCGGTGCTCTAACCACTACTACACTACACCAGCCAGGGCATGTACATTGATTCTTGAACAACACAGGTTTGAACTGCGCAGGTCCAATCATAATGAGGATTTTTTCAGTAAGTATATATAGTACTATAAATGTATTTGTTAAGATTTTCTTAATAATTTTTTTCTCTAGCTTGCTGCATTGTAAGAATACAGTATATAATATATGTACATACGAAATGTTTGTTAGTTGGCTGTTTATGTTACCAGTATGGCTGCTGGTTAATAGTAGGCTATTGGTAGTTAAGTCTTAGAGCAGTCAAAAGTTATACATGGATTTGCAGCTGTGTCGGGGTCAGTGCCCCTAACCCCCACCTTATTCAAGGGTCAGCTGTACATTCAACATGGATGTTCCTGCCATTCTCTCAGCTTGCTTCTCTTCCTGCTCTTGCTCTTTGACACCACCACTTCCCTAGTCAGTCAGCCAGAGGCCTCAGTTATCCTTGAGCTCATTCTGACGCCGGTAAATTCTACCTGGTCTGTTCTAAATACTTCCCTCCTTATTCCCTCTGCTTTGGCTCTGACCCCTTTACTTCTTACCAGGGTTCCTCAGCCTTGGCACTATTGATATTTGGGGCCAGAGCATTCTTTGTGGGCCCTATTCTGTGCATTGTAGGATGTTTAGCAGCATCTTTGTCCTGTACCCACTAGATGCCAGCGTTGCTAACCCATCCCCATTCCCTCTAATGTGACAACCGAAAGTGCCTAGATGTTGCCAGATGACACCTGGGAAGCGAAATCAGTGGTTGAGAGCCATTACACTGGGCTAATGACATAGATTCCAAATAAGTTTCCTGTTTTGTGTCATGCCCTCAGTGCTGCCAGAATGAGCGTAGACACAAATCCCTCGTCACTGCTCTGCCTGGAGCCTCATAAGGTTGCCCGTAAAAGTTCAGACATTCAGGCATGGCCCACAAATCCTTTTCGTTCTGATCCCGGGCTCATCAGTCTTCCATGGTGCCTCATTAATGCTAGGTTCTAACCTAGCAACCCTTTTGCGTTCTTTGAATAACGTGGTCTTGCATGCATCTCGGCTTTAACGCATGCTGGCCCCGTTTGGATGCTTTTACTTCTTTCTGGTCTGACTGCTCAGTGTTTAAGACTCAACTCCTTCGTTAAACATACTGTGGTGGAGCCTACTCCAGGCCTGTGGGTGGAGAGAGCTACTGCTCCCTGTAGGCTCCCATTGCACTTGTATGTGTCCTTATTCCGTGTATGCAGCAAACATTGACCCCGCGCCTTCCATTTGCTGGCACTGCCCAGGCAGTGAGGCCACAGTGCCGAACAGGACATTACTCCTGCTCCCTGGGAGATGATGTCCTAGTGGAGAACATGCTTTCGCTTATTCCGCTGCTCTGGAATTGTTTATTAACACATTTCCCTCTCCAGCCGGAATTCGGACTCCCTTGAAGGTATGTGCAGTATGCATTGCTCTGCATTATCTCAGCTCTCAGCAAAGCACCTGCGTCAGAGGAGGGACTTGCTGAGTGGTTTTGAGAAGATGGATTTGGCAGTATAAGTGCTCAACCTCTTTACTGGCCCCGCTACCAGCTTAAGTACTTGCTAACGAAATGTCAGCCGCCAGTGTGTGCCCCCTTGACCTTTCCCCTTGAGGGGCCTGTGTGGCCTGCAGGAGAGGTAGCACGACAGAAGGGAATGGGTGGGGACCTTTGCTGTGCTCTCGGTTTTCTGAGCCATGACATGGGAGTTTGCAGCTGGGTTTCTTGCCAGGATCATTGTTTCAGATGCTCAGCTCCCCTGACTTCAAATGTTCATGAGTCATGCTTAGTCAGCTCTACCGCCCGTGTTCCAGCTCGGCGCTGCACCGCTCTCCTTTAACCTTCCCCTGCCAGAAGTAAATGTGAAAGGAAGTACATGAAAATATGCTGCATTTAATAGGTGCACACAAGCCCGGCTGGTGTGGCTCAGTGGTTGAATGTCCACCCAGGCACCAAGAGGTCGCCGGTTCAATTCCTGGTCAGGGCACATGCCCAGGTTGTGGGTCCGATCCCCAGTGGGGGGCAGGCAGGAGGCGGCCAACAATGTTCTCTCTCATCAATGTTTCTATCTCTCTCCCCCTCTCCCTTTCTTTCTCTAAAATAAATAAAGAAAAAAAATAGGTACACATAAAATACGTTGATTTACTGCAAAATTATTAAAATGGGAAAGAAAAGCTCAAGCAGTGTAAACGTATATTTATGAAAAAAGTCAAAGCCCGTTCCTTTACTCCCAGTTGGCACCACACTGTCCGTGTGCTTCTGCAAGATGGGATTCCGAGGGGCGGGGTTAATGGGCGAGGGTAGCCGCATTCAGGTGTTTGATAGGTACTGCCTGGGGGTCCTGCAGAATGTCCCTAACTTGAAAATTTCAGGAGTGGTGTAAAGGAGGGCCTGTTTGTCTAGGCCTCACCAACATGAAACAGTCTCTTTTTAATTTTTGCCTATCTAGTCAGTAAAAAGGGTTAGCATTTTCCTAACTGCTAGTGAGATTGACCATCTTTTCATGTTTATCGACTGTATTTCTTCTTCTGTGAACTGCCTGTGTTTCTTTGCTCATGTTTGTAATGAATGGTTTCTTTTTTATTTTCTTGATTTGATTATTTTTTAATCCATTTCCCCCAGATTATAGGAAAGTGATATGTATCCATTGAATTAAGTGGAACTTTCAGAAAGGTATGAAGAAACATACCAATGTAATCCCACCGCTCACAGACACCCACTGTTTACATTTTGTATTGCATATGCTGGTGGTGGGTTTTTTTTGGTTTTTTTTTGTTTTTATCCTCACCCGAGGACATTTTTCAATTTTTTTTGTTCAGATAGAGCGGGAGGGAGAGAGAGGAAGAGAGAGAGAGAGAGACATCGATGTGAAGGGACACATCGAGTGGCTGCCACCTGCACGACCAACCAGGGCCGGGGACAAACTGCAACCGAGGTACATGCCCTTAGCGGGAACCGAACCCGGGTCTCTCTATACCGCAGGCCGACGCTCCAACCGCTGAGCCAAACCGGCCAGGGCGTGGTGGTGTTTTTTAATATTGAGAAAGTCATTTCATTGTATATGGTGAAGAATTATCAGTGTCTAGTTAATGTACTACAGGTTCAGTAATTTTCCCTTCTCAGAGGCAACCACCATTAACAGATTTTTGTGTATGCTTTTAGAAATGGCAAACACATATTTTAGCTTTCCTTTGCCCACACCGTCGGAGTATATTTGTTCAGTTACATACCTTTCTCTCCTCTTATGTAGAGCCTTTAATCGTCTCAACCGAAGACGTAGCTTACACTTGAGCACCAGCTGTTTCGTAATATGTACGGACTGTGCTTTTATGAGTCTGCTGCCAGTCTGCTGCTTTTATGAGTAAAGCTGCAGTGAACATCCTTGTACTCTCATCCTGGCTCACACGGCCAGTACATGTGTCTGGGAGGGTAGTTTAGAAGCAGCGTTGCTAGGTCAAAGGGTGTGTCCAGGTAAAATCAGTAACTCTTGCCAAGTGTAGCAGTTGCACTGATTCACTCCCTTGGAGAAGAGACCCTTCTCCTTAGCCCGGTGAGCCGTGCACAGCTCAGGCTGTGAGCTTTTGTATTAACGTGTCCTTTTTCTAATCTGTGTTTCTTTCCCGGTAAGATTGAGCAGACTTTAGTGAGTTTGCAAGTCATTGATGTTGATTTTCATGTGAGCTTCCCATTCTTTTTTTTTTTATTTTATATTTGTGTTGTTTTTTCCCCTCATTGATTTCTAAGTACTTCTTATACCTTAAGGTATTTCTCTATTGAATGTGTTGAAACACTTTTTCTAGTTTGTCATTTTGTCTGACTTTTTTATGCTTTTTGTTTTTTTCCCTTGAAGAAAGGTTTAATTTGTATGTAAATGGATATCTTTTTTTTTCCCAATTTTATTTCTGAATTTTGTGTTTTGGCTAGGCCTTCCTCTCTCAAAAATGATGTAGAAAGTACTCTATGGTCTCTTTTTCTCTAATGAAAAATTTTAAAATATGGAAAAATTAAAATATTAAATATCTATGAAACCACCATCTAAAATGAATAAACTTCTAATGAAAATTTAAAGTTTCTGTTGAATCTTTTATCTGTACGGTATCAATCTGAGAGCGGAGATCCAACTTTATTTTTCTTGTTTAGCTTGCCAATTTTCCAAATGCCATTTCATAATTCATCATTTCCCCATCCTTTGAAATGTTGGGTTGGAATTATTAAAGCTATTGTTATACATTGCAGAAATTATCGATCTGTCTTTGTCTTTTAACTTTGGTTGTGATGTTTTCACTACAGAAGTCAGATAAGTCCTTTCCGTGATTTCTGTGAGACACTCCCTTGAAAAGTGTGATGAGTTTTGCTTTACAGATGTCAAGTGTCTTGGTCCTTCACCAGCAGATGGTGATGGGGAGAGTGTAGACGCTCGGTGCTCCGATTCCCAGGTGGGGTGTCGGCTGCATTGCTGACTTTGGTCTGAAAGCAGTAGCTTGGCACCTGAATGGACCCAGGGAATCGGCTCTTCAGGAATGACCCCAGTCCTCACTCCCAAGGATTGCTTTTACCTTGGCCGGAAATCACTCTCTCAGAGATTGTGGGAGCCAGAGTCGACAGGTGGGTGTGTCCTCATCTTGCAATTCTGTTTCCCCTCCTCCCTCAGAAAACAACATGGAAGCCAAGTTCCTGGGAAATGCACCTTGTGGCCACTACAAGTTCAAGTTCCCCCAGGCAATACGGACAGAAAGTAGCCTCGGGGCCAAAGTATTCTTCTTCAAAGCACTACTGCTAACTGGAGACTTTTCCCAGGCCGAGAAGAAGGGCCATCATGTGTGGGTCAGTAAGGAGGAGCTGGGTGACTACTTGAAACCAAAATACCTGGCCCAGGTTAGGAGGTTTCTGTTGGACCTCTGATGGACTGGACTTCCTCTGGACAACGCTCGGACAGTCTGCACGTGGGCCCAGGGACGTTCTGTGGTTGCCCCATCTCTGCAGGGAATATCCAGAAGCATACTGAGTTCTGAGAAATAAACGAGTTTATCGTGTGGGTCTCGGCTGATCTGTCCTTTGAGAAGCACTGGCTGCTCCCGGGGAGGAGGGCCGGCTCCCAGGGTGTCTTTCCCCTCTCCCCAGGCTGGTAATCGAGTGTCGCGTTACAGTGCAGTGGCTCACCTGGCTTCCTGGGCCGGAAGAGAGGGCAGAGGGAAATGCATCGGACTTCTAAACGCCTTGTGTTTGCCGTGAGGGCTTCCAGGCACTGGGAACCCAAGCTCGTTCTGTGTAGCTTTCTAGGCCAAGTTCCCTTTTGTTACTCCCTTTCTTTCTACCTGCTATGTGAATGTGTATCAGCGTAGTCTAGGGAATAGTTCCTTCCTTCCTTCTCTCTTCTCTCATTCTTCCTTTTTTTTTAAACCATGTTATATTTAAATAGAATGGGCTCACATGTCAAACAGCCATGTGAAATGAGCACATCAGCGTATCCTCTGCATTTATCAAGTGGAGAATCACGGCTGAGTGTGACTTGGCTGCGAGTCCTCCCGTCCGGCGCTGATGATGCAGGAGGAGAGTGCTGAGCCCTTGCCTCCGGTCTGGGGCCCGTGACCCCTCACTGTATTTCTTGGGTCCCAGTGGTCCCAGCGCCTGGCATGTGGGAGGCACTCATGAACATTCGCTAAATGCATGGAAGAGAGGGAGGGTCTCAGACGGCCCTCTGTGTGCCCAGTGCGCTTCCAGTAGCCAGTCTGTGGTCCTGGGTCCCCTCAGGCATCCTTCCGGGTTCAACAGGCTGGCCTGTACCACGCACGGTTGTGAAATGGGATTTCCTGCCTCAGGTGCAGCCTCTTGTTCTGCAGGATCGGGGACGTTTCCTCCTGGGGTCAACGCTGCGGTGCCTCGTCCTGGTCTCCCCTCCTTCCCCCTCGTGACGGGAGATGTTTCTGGCCGAGGCTGCCGGCTTGGTGGGCAGCAGCACTTCTGGCCTGAAGCCTGGGCAGTAGGAGCAGGCGAGGGCAGCTCTAGGACCAGGGGTGCATTTCTGTCCCTGGGTCTTGGTGTGAATTGTGTGAATGAGCTATGTATTCACCACAGGAACCACTCACCCGTAACGGGAAGGGACGACCTGGGTGCGAGGTTGATTGTTCTCATGACTCATATCTTGAATAAAATAAATATTTGACTTTCTTCCCCATTCATTGACAGGGAGCATCTAAACCCTTGAAATTTCCTGAAATTTCCTGAGCAATCAAGGTCTCTTAATGACATGACTTTGGAAAGCCCCTTGGTAACCAGGGGAGCCAACCACGTGATTAGAGGGATGGAGCTCTCCACCCACCCCCTGGCCTCCAGGGAGGCGGGAGGGGAGAGAATTTAGTTCAGTCACCAGTGGTCAGTGCTCTCATCAACTATGCCTATAGCAACGACACCTCCCTGAGAACCATAAAGGACAGTGTTTGGAGGCCTCCCGGGTTAGTGAGCACGTGGAGATTTAGGAGTGGCGCAGTCTGAGAGGGCATGGGGGCTGGGCAGTCTGAGAGGGCATGGGGGCTGGGTTCCGGCCCCACCCCTGCCCTGTGCGCCTCCCATGTGGCCAATCCCGAGTTACGTCCTTTTGTAATAAACCGGTCATCTCGTGAGTAAAACGTTTCTCTGAGCTCTGTGAGCCGCTCCGGCAACTTAGTCAAACCCAAGGAGGGGTTCATGGGGCATCTCCAATTTATAACCTGGATGTGTGATTGGCGTCCGGAGTGAAGGGCTGTCTGGTGGGACTGAACCTCGAATGTATGGGACCTGACTGACCCTCTCTCCAGGTTGATCGCGTCAGAATTGAGTTGAACTGCAGGACACTAGCTGGTGTCTGAAATTTGCTGGGTGTGGAGGGAAAGCCCACAGGTTGGAGTCTTAGTAACCATTCATTCCTAAGATGGTCTGTTTTGTTACAAAGTTGCTTCTTTAAAGGGAAGTAGCATGTATACAACTGGTAAATACAGAAATGGTGCCAGGATCACCCGGAATTAGGTCAGTGTCTGTGAGGTTTTCCCCGGAACATCAATATTTTCAAGTGACCAGGGAGGGACAGGATGGATTACCTTAAGAAGAAAGCCGGAAATATATATATAAATTTTTTCATTTATCTTGAGATAGAGCAGGAGGGAGAGAGGGAGGAAGAGAGAAAGAGAGAGAAACATCGACGTGAAAGGGACACATCGAGTGGCTGCCTCCTACACGACCAACCAGGGCCGGGGACAAACTGCAACCACAGTACGTGCCCTTAGCGGGAACCAAACCTGGGTCTCTCCGGACCGCAGGCCGACGCTCTAACCGCTGAGCCAAACCGGCCAGGGCAAAAGCCCCAAATGTTATAGGAGCGCCTCCCTTTACTGCAAGGAGTGGCAGGTTTAGGAGCTTCGAGAATCACTGTGCACCTTTCCACTGTGTTAGGCTGTCTGGTACACTGAGCGGCTAGGTGGACACCGCAAAGATACTTCACCCCTTTGCTTTATGAAACATGAAGGCCAGTCCTGGGTCACGTGGACCCGCATCTCAGGAAGAAGAGTGAAGGCCCAGGATGTAAGGCCGCGAGGGACCCGCACACACGCCAGGGGGGCTTAACCAGCGTCAGCATCATCAGTGGGCTTGACTCTGTTTCGTCGGTGCCCTGGCAATTCTATAGGTTGTAGGTGGCCTTCCCCCAAACCCCTTTTCCCAGAAGCCCTGTTCTCTTCGGAGTGGGAATTTGCAGAATTCTGGAGGTAAGTTTTTTCCGGCATCATCGTAGAAATGCCTGTGTGTGCTGAGTGTCCGCCAGCCTCCACTGGCTGCCGGACATGACCGGAAAATTGTTTCTAGTGTGTCCTTCGGGAGAAGACCGCCAGGGAACAGGGGTGATGGTCTCTGTGCTCTAGGGGGAGCTTAAGGAAAGCAGCAGAGGGCAGGGGCAGCGTGTGTGATGGGCTAGGGAACGCGGCTTGGGCTGTGTGTGTGCCCCCTGAGAAATGCCACTGGGGTGTGTGTAACACATAAAGCAGACCCCTCCACCCCTGGCCCCCCCAGCTCACTGGAAGATTCCTCCAGAGTTTAGCCCCCACCCGGTCATTGCCTTCCCAAATGATTTTCTGTTTTTCATTTTTGCCGGTTCTATGGAGAAACTAGTGCCACTCTTCATATTAACTTGTTTTCCTGGTAACTTATCCTCAAGAGTTTCCTCCTGCTGGGCACGTCTGTACCTTGTGTGTGCTTCTCCACTTAGCACTTTATAGGACAACGAGTTGTCCGTTAGTCCAGCTCCTATACCTAACTGGACCTTCAAATTCTTGGGCAGAGCCTGCCTCAGGGCCATAACTAAACAACAACAACAAAAAAAATGAAGTGAATCGCTTCTTTCCCGGTGAGTACTGAACTTGGGAGTCAGAAAACCTGGGTTTTAATCTGCTTTATGATCTTCAGCAGGTTACAACTACGATCACTATTAGCAACAGTGGTGTGACCTTGAGTGCTAGGGCCCGTACCTACAACATCCATTTCCACCGAAACCGGCAGGGCCAGCGTCTCACTATCGATATTCCTGTTCACTGGATGGGAACATAGACCAAGAGGTGAACTTGCCCAGGGTAACTCGCTAGTGAGCAGCAGGGCCAGAATGTGAACTCTGATCTGTGTACAAAGCTGGTTGCTAACCTTTCTTAGCTTCCCCTTTCTCGTCTGTAAGATGCGGATGATACTCTTTCTCAGATAATGTGATAATGTATGTGAAAGTACTTAGCACTGTGCATGGCTGTTATAAACACGCAGTAAATGTTTCCCCCTTCCGGAGCCTTTGGACTCCTAAGCTCTCCTGAATTCCGCTGTATCATCTTTAGTGTTTACATCTCCCACTCTTCCCTTTGCCAGGTTCCCTATTTTGTGGCAACTAGGAGTTTCTGACCTGTTTGACAAGGGGCGGGGGCAATTTGGACATCAGTGGATTCATTCCATCAGCCAGTCGCAAGATGGGTGGGTGTCGGGTCAGTCCCTTAATCACATCCAACTGGTTGGGCATGTCAGCCCCTCCCCGCCCGGGGCCAGGAAATCCAGAGCCACTGTTGGCACAGGCTTCTGGGGCACTAAAGACGGAGTAGACCAGCTGCCCCATTCTATTACCCCAGCAGGGGAAAAAGAAACGCAGCAGAAAGGTCGGCAATCCGGTCATTAAGAGCTCTAGGCTGCAAGCACACACGGTGAGATACAGCCTGCTTGCCTGAAACCTTCGGGCCGCCTCGGCCCCCGCCCTTCCCTATTCCCTGGAAGCCTGGATGGGAGCCAGTCCCTGGGGCTGTCAGTCTCCTCCCACTTGCCTTGGAACCGTGCTCAACACCACAGGACGCGAAGGAGGAGACCGCTCTGCCCCCAGGAGAGGGGTACAGAGTAGGTGCGGCCCTGCAGGCTCAGGGATAGGTCCAGCTGAGGGCTGCACTGGGAGGTCCCCTGGGAGTCAGGGATGGGGACAGCCAGGGAGGGCATTCCCAGCCTGGAGCCAGGAATAGGTGCACGCGTGCGTGTGTGTATGTACACACACACACACACACCTGGAGCCAGGAATAGGTGCGTGTGTGTATGTACACACACACACACACAGCTGGAGCCAGGAATAGGTGCGTGCATGCGTGTGTGTATGTACACACACACACACACACACCTGGAGCCAGGAATAGGTGTGTGTGTATGTACACACACACACACACACACACACACACCTGGAGCCAGGAATAGGTGCGTGTGTGTATGTACACACACACACACACACCTGGAGCCAGGAATAGGTGCGTGCGTGCGTGTATGTGCACACACACACACACCTGGAGCCAGGAATAGGTGCGTGTGTGTATGTACACACACACACACACACCTGGAGCCAGGAATAGGTGCGTGCGTGCGTGTATGTGCACACACACACACACCTGGAGCCAGGAATAGGTGCGTGTGTGTATGTACACACACACACACACCAGCCACTCTGCCTCAAGCCATCCTCAGATGGATCAGAGGAGGCAGCAATAGGTTTTGTTG